GCAGCGTGGTTCTCCAGGAGGGCTTCGCCAAGCACTACGAAAGACAAGGAGGTGGAGAGGTAGGGCTGCGCTGAGAGAGAGAGAGACCTTCGTCTATGGCAGCCCCAAAAACCCCACTATATATAGGAGGAGGGGAGGGGGTTGCGCCCCCTCTAGGGTTCCCACCCTAGGGGGGCAGCAGCCCTAGATGGGATTGAGGGGGCAGCCAAGGGGGAGAGAGGGGGGAGGGGCGCGCCCTAGGGTGGGCCTTAGGCCCATCTGCGCATAGGGTTTCCCCCTCTTCCCTTGTGCTGCGCCTTGGGCCTTGGTGGGAGGTGCACCAGCCCACTCAAGGGCTGGTCCCTTCCCACTCTTGGCCCATGCAAGCCTCCGGGGCTGGTGGCCCCTCCCGGTGGACCCCCAAAACCCTTCCAATGGTCCCGGTACATTACCGGCGATGCCCGGAACACTTACGGTGTCCAAATACTCACTTCCTATATATAATTCTTTACCTCCGGACCATTCCGGAACTCCTCGTGATGTCCGGGATCTTATCCCGGACTCCAAACAACATTTGGTAACCACGTACATACTTTCCCTATAACCCTAGCGTCATCGAACCTTAAGTGTAGACCCTACGTGTTCGGGAACCATGCAGACATGACCGAGACATCTCTGCGGCCAATAATCAACAGCGGGATCTTGATACCCATGTTGGCTCCCACATGTTCCATGATGATCTCATCGGATGAACCACGATGTCAGGGATTCAATCAACCCCATACACAATTCCCTTTGTCCATCGGTATGTTACTTGCCCGAGATTCGATCATCGGTATCTCTATACCTCATTCAATCTCATTAGCGGCAAGTCTCTTTACTCATTCCGTAACGCATGATCCCGTGGCTAACTCCTTAGTCACATTGAGCTCGTTATGATGATGCATTACCGAGTGGGCCCAGAGATACCTCTCTGTCATACGGAGTGACAAATCCCAGTCTCGATTCGTGCCAACCCAACTGATACTTTCGGAGATACATGTAGTGCACCTTTATAGCCACCCAGTTACATTGTGACGTTTGGTACACCTAAAGCATTCCTACGGTATCCGGGAGTTGCACAATCTCATGGTCTAAGGAAATGATACTTGACATTAGAAGAGCTTTAGCAAATGAACTACACGATCTTGTGCTACACTTAGGATTGGGTCTTGTCCATCACATCATTCTCCTAATGATGTGATCCCGTTATCAATGACATCCAATGTCCATGGTTAGGAAACCATGACCATCTATTGATCAACAAGCTAGTCAACTAGAGGCCTACTAGGGACATATTACGATGTATGTATTCACACATGTATTACGGTTTCCGGTTAATACAATTATAGCATGAACAATAGACAATTATCATGAACACGGAAATATAATAACAACCACTTTATTATTGCCTCTAGGGCATATTTCCAACAATAAGCATCATTCATAGCAGAAGTAGCATCATCTATTACTTGCGACATATCAAGATTAATAGCAGGTGGTGGTGTTGTAAGCTTACTTAAAACAGATGGTGAATCAAGTGCAGAGTGTGATGGCAGTTCGATACCTTCCCTCGTCTTAGAGGGAATGATCTTGGGTCTGGTATCTATCAGATTCTTCATAGTGATCAACAGATATTAAATCCCAAGTGACTCAGCAAATAGAGCTATGCTCCCCGACAACGGCGCGAGAAAAAGGTCTTGATAACCCACAAGTATAGGGGGTCGCAACAGTTTTCGAGGGTAGAGTATTCAACCCAAATTTATTGATTCGACACAAGGGGAGCCAAAGAATATTCGCGAGTATTAGCAGTTGAGTTGTCAATTAAACCACACTCGAAAGACTTAATATCTGCAGCAAAGTATTTAGTAGCAAAGTAGTATGGAAGTAACGGTAACAGTGGCAGTAGTAACAGTGACAGTTTTGTAGTGAGTGTAGCAGCAACACGGCAAACATTACTTAGCAAAGATCAATATGTGGAAAGCTCATAGGCATTGGATCAATGATGATAATTGTGTTGGATGATATTCATCATGTAGCAGTTATAACCTAGAGAGACGCAGAACTATGTCCAATTCATCAATGTAATATAGGCATGTATTCCATATATATTCATACGTGCTTATGGAAAAGAACTTGCATGACATATTTTGTCATACCCTCCCATGGCAGTGGGGTCCATAAGGAAACTAAGGGATATTAAGTCCTCCTTTTAATAGAGAACCGGAACAAAACATTAACACTTAGTGAATACATGAACTCCTCAAACTACGGTAATCACTAGAAAAAATCCCAATTATTGTCACCTTGGGGTATGGGATCATAACTCGTAATAGGCGTGTATAACTTGCAAGATAGGATCAAGAACACAAATATATTCATGAAAACATAATAGGTTCAGATCTGAAATCATGGCACTCAAGCCCTAATGACAAGCATTATGCATAGCAAAGTCATAGCATCATCAATCTCAGAACATAGTGGATACTAGGCATCGATCCCTAACAAAACTAACTCGATTACATGATAGATCTCATCCAACCCATCACCGTCCAGCAAGCCTATGAAGAAATTACTCACTCCCAGCTATGAGCGTCATGAAATTGGCGACGGAGGAAGGTTAATGATGATGTCGACGTCGAATTCCACCCTCCGGAGCCCCGAACGGACTCTAGGTCAGCCCTCCCGATGAAGAACAGGAGGTGGCGGTGGCTCCGTATCGTAAAACACGATGAATCCTTCTCTCTGTTTATTTCTCCGCGAATAGGTATATGTGGAGTTGGAATTAGGGGGGGCTGGGCGCGCCCCCTAAGCTTGTGGCTCCTGGGTGCCCCCCTCTGGTATATTTTTTTGCCAATACTTTTTATTTATTCCGCAAAAATTCTCCGTACATTTTTAGGTCAATCTGAGAACTTTGATTTCTGCACAAAAACAACACCATGGCAATTCTGCTGAAAACAGCGTCAATCCAGGTTAGTTCCATTCAAATCATGCAAATTAGAGTCCTAAACAAGGGCAAACGAGTTTGGAAAAGTAGATATGATGGAGACGTATCATGGCACCACCTCCTTGCCCTTGTCCATCTGCATTATGAACAACACGCATATCAATGGTCAACATCCATTCATATCAGCCTAACGCTCCTATATTAACCCACCCCACTAACTCAGCACTGCACTCAAACCCCCTCTATTTCACCACCTTTCCTCTTCCACCTCTCCTCGGCATGAAATCCAACTCCAACTCCAACTCCAACCCCAACTCTTTCCCCTGAGGCATTGGATGGAGGGCATTCTTCCTTGGGTGCTCGCTCGGTGACCGCAAGAAGTTCGAGCACACCATGGAAGTGTGCTCGAACTTCAGCAACATCGATGACATGCACAAGGACGCCGATGCTGTGATAAAGAAGGCTACGCCGGACGAGACACTGGTTCTGAACCCAGCCAAAGGCGCGATGTCGGTGGACATCCTGCGCTGGGCCATGAATCAGGCAGATTCCGGCGACGCTCGACAGCGGGCAAGATGGGCCAAGTACAGTCAGTACAAGGCACCTCAAGACCAGCGTGCCTCGGCATACTAGAGTAGTACGTTCGGGTCGTCGGAGTCCGACAACGACGTGGTGCAGATGGTGTCCAGGGCGCTGGCGGCAGGCGAGTGTGCAAGACCCATCG